TAGCTCCTACCTTGTAAGTAGGATCCCAAATACAAAAACCACAGCAAGGAACTATAATGGTAAGGAGTGGTTGCCTTTACGGCTGGAGCTTCCGGTTGAGCATCGCAGATCGCTCTCTGCTTGGGAGTAGGGTTTAGGGATGGTGCTATGTACCGTTTAGGTGTAATTGCATCTTTTGGTTTGTGCTCGGTCATCTGGTGCACACAAACCTGAACAGTTACCAATACCATGTTTTCCCGGTTCCGTACTATAACTACACTACTTGGAGGTTCATGGGTAGTTATAAGTCGGGTTATAAGTCCCCTAATATGGGTTCTAACTATAGTTACCCTACTTATAACCCCACTTCTAACTACCCATGAACCTCCAAGTAGACCATACACCAAGACGTGGCAAAACCCTCTTGACTACAAGGCAGCTAGCCGAGCTCCGCAAACTTAAACTTCCGCGTTGCACGAGACCACAAGTCTGAGTTAACTGGGTGGCTAATGTAGGGGCCTTAATAGCTAGAATAGGGTTTTGGGGGGTTCCTTGTTATATTTATAGTATAATATACCCCCAAAGCCTATTCGAATTATTAAGGCCTCTACATTACTGTGAGGGTTCCTTCGAGGGCTACCATAAAAGCGATTAGGTGAGAAAAGAGAACGAGCCCATACGCCGACATGCAAGGATTGAAGGAAAGTCATGGGAAGGTGTAATTTGTGGAGCACTGCGTGGAATCCTTTTGCCTTCGGACGAACTGATAGTCTGTGTGAAAGGGGTATTTGAATGCTGTGACTTGTGAGGAGCGAGTACTGACTACAGAGTGTCGAGGTTTCGGGTCCTGTGACAGCTTTCTCGATTGCGAGGGACGTATCATCTTGGCCCGCGGTTGACAAGTAACTTTGAGCCGGAAGCAAGTGAAGCTCAGGGCGGCCACAATCTGTATAGATGACTTTTCTTTAGAGTGCGATGTGCCACATGTTGCGATGTCGCTGCACACTGTACTTTCTGACTGAATCCTGCAATGCGGGCTTGTCCCAGCTGGGTGGGAGGCAACAAAACCTCCGAACTTCCGAACCCTTTTCCATACCAGAGAGGCAAGTTTGGGATGTAGGGTTCAGGGTGTTTCCTTTGTGGGAAGCAACAATGCCCCTAAACCTTATAAACCCTACACCCACAAACAAAACCCTCAATCAGAAACCTTAACCTGCAGGGCTTTAACAAAAGCGGCATATTAGGTGGGCTTGGGGTTGAGGGTACCATAGACATGCTCATGCACACACACACACACTATATATATATATATAGTTCTGTGTATATACATATATATATATATATGTATATATATATATACACACATATTTATGGGAAAACTATTGCTAATTATTCCATGTCGCCCAATCCAGGTTATCGTTGTCCTGATCGTGGCAGGAATCTTGGCGGAACATGAGAGAATGTACACCTTGGCATTTGCTAGGGAGGGCTGCTTTGACCCTCAACCTCAGCTCTGAACTCAAACCCTCTCCATTGGCTTCGGACGGCTATCGGACTCCCCGCTACGAACTCTTGGTTCTATTACTGGCTGGTGGCCGGATCCACAGCCAGTTGTGAGGAGAAGGCCCTGCCAAACAGGGCAGGTTCTTGAACTTGTAACATGCGGGCCTGAGTAGTTCCGAATCTTATTTCGCAATCTTCCGCACTTTACGTTTACACTGAATGATATACCCCTAAGCCCTTGCGACATCCCATTGTAGTGACCCTTACCAAGAAGTTGAACATCGACCTTGCTAAACCCCTCTTGCATTTGTTCAGGCCCCTAGACCCCTATGGATCCTCGCCTGGCATGTCCGAGTTGTGAGAGCCTAAAGGCCCTAAAGCCTAAGCCCTTTCAAGGATGCTCAGACGGAAAAAGGCGTTCAAAAACAAAAGCCCCTTGAAACGGTTAAGGTTCAAGCTTTGGGGCCTTTAGGGTTTCATGCTAGTCGTGAACACGGTCGGTTCAGTGTGTCCAGGCGAGCCTACGCAAGCCTGCTGCACGAGGGTCCTTTAGGGTTTAGGATTTAGGGTTTAGGGTTATGGGGCACTGCCAAGGAAGCATCTACAACGTGATTCTCACCAGGTGCGACGGTTTTCCCAAGCCCCAAAGCACTTTGGCCTTCAGCTCCGGAGTTGGGAGTTACGTTCCTCAACTTGTACGGTCTAGCGAAGTTCTGATTGGCTTCGGATCCGACACTTGCAAGCACCCTAGGCCACGAATCCTAAACCCCAAACCCTAACGGTGTTAGGGTTTGGTTTAGGGAGCTCTTGGGGGCTTGGTTGTTTCGTTTCGAGCACCCATGACAACATCTCGCCTCTCCAAACAAACTGGCAGAGTGTGTCAATCAACAGCCGCAGTCCAATGGTTTAGGTCTAGGGTTTACAGTCGGGTAGCCGCGATAAAGACTTTCCAGTAGACGCGTAGCTAACCAATGCCGTAGGCCTTGCACTGCAGGTTGCCGGCCAAGACAGACCAGATGATCACAGCAAGCGACAATCTAACGGTTTTGTAACGAGGAGTACCAGTACAAAGAGCAATAAAAGCAAACGGTATCTTGTATAGTGCGCCCAGCGCCAGGACGAAAAGTTTTACTTTAACCGACTATAGAAGCCTCAATAATTGACAGTATTATTCCTTGGAGGTCCTAATTGTTTTGTGTATTATGATATACCCACAAGACCGTATTCTATGCATTAAGGCCCCTGCTTTACACAGTCATAGCAGCACTCATCGTTCTTTCGCAAGCGCTTACCTGAGTTCGCTAATTAATCTACTCTGCTCGCACAGGTTTTTCGGCCCTGCTAGCAGAGTCAGACCGTTCCGATCTCCGAATTTCCAGAAACCATATCCTGTACTGTGTCCCCGAAAGCAATAAAGCTTCAGGCGTCGTCCATCACAGTTGATTCAGTGGCCTCAGCTTTGGCCAGGACATGATCTCGAATTACTTAAATGTTTCGGACGCAAAATCGGACAGTCAGCGAGTGGAGTGGTTGACTATTTGCACCACTTCTTGTTTCTACTCGAGATCTCAGTCTACTGTATGTGCAGTAGCAGCTGCCACCTCCAAAAGCCCGGGCGTCCTGTGCGAAAGGCTCGTTTGGTTGGATCATCAACGGAATTCAGTGCCTTTGACCAGAACTGGTGATTCGTTCCATCATGTGGATCGAGGTGCCTGGTTTCGTGTCTTTACCCGAGCTGACATATGCGTCGGAGCAAATTGAAGAGTTTAGACTCGTTCCTAACCTACGGGTCATGCTCCATTTGGCGAAGATGTCGACGCTGCGTTTGTCGATGCCGGTGGCACGGTGGCGAACACAAAAACGACATGATGGTGTTGCTGATGCTGATACGGCTCATCAAGCTCATTTTCTCAGCATCATTGACGGCAAAGCGTACAACATGTCACACAACAAAACATACATATCGCGTCTCGTTGCCAGGAGGCAAAGCCCCAAATGTTTTCGGAGGCACAGATTCCCTGCAGCAAGGCTCCATTCCCTGGGGCTCCATTTGTCCAGCTTATTTTGGACCCAAAGGCACCGATCGATTGTCGGTGTACTTCACAAACCCTACTTGGAGGCTCATGGGTAGTATCAGTGGGGTTATAAGTCCCCTAGTTAGGGTTATAATTATAGTTACCCTACTTATGACCCCAGTTATAACTACCCATGAACCTCCAAGTAAACCTTAAAAGGGCCTTCAAGAATGCAGGGTCCGTGAGGTGCATCGTTTCGGATGCGCGGGGCGTCGCGGGGCAGTGCCCATAGAATCTCCCGTGGCACAGCGGTGTTTATGAGCGTGTGCTGCGACGCCAGTAACGAACTAGACTAGCCTTCTACAGTCAGTGCCAAACCATTCGGGCTTGCTTGATTCAACTTGATGCAATGTTAGCTCCTCCTCATGATTATACCAGAGCTCTTGTTGAGGCTAGCTGCTCTCTACATTGGGTTGAAGATACTACGTAGTACTGTGCATAGTGAGTATCCGGGTAAATGGGGACCAGGGTATTATCAGGAGGGCACTGCCTCATACTCATCGGAACCATCGGCCATCGGACCGTCTTATCCGTTGCCAGGGGACAGAAACGAGCCGGAAAGCTTTGTCAATGTCTGGCCCTACCTAAACCTTAAACCCCAATCCCTAA